TCTGGATATGCTTGTGGCTGTTGCACACGTCTGGGGGGCACAGGTGGAGACCTGGGATGTGCATGGGCTCGAATATATGTGTGTGTGTACACGTACATGTGGAATGTTTCTGAATATGATGTGTGAGAGTGTCTGTCTCCCTGGGTCATTGTAAGAGGTACATGCCCATGAGTATGTGTGTATATGTGTGAGTAGCTATCTGCCTGGGGCCACGTGTGTGCCCCTGAGTGTGCCTGATGGTGTGGTGGATTATTGGTGGGCAATCCCTGAGGCATTCTGGTCCCCAGCACCTCTTAGATGACCTCTCATCCTTGAGTTGTGTCTGCTCTGATCTAGGGTCTGGGCATTAGGGTCTCACTCCCTATTGGCTTGTTGGGACTGGGGAGGCACCTCCTGGCCTCTCCTCCTGCCCTGCCAGGGCCCCTGACTTCCTATCCCAGGGCTCAGTCTCTGTCCTTTTCCTCCAGTCACCTTCTCAGCCCTCCTGTCTTCCCTCCGCTCTCTGCCCCTCAGGGCTCTCAAAGACTTCAGACCAGGCCTACATTGAGTTTGAGAGCATCGAGGCCATTGTGAAAACGGCCAGCCGCACCAAGTTCTTCATTGAGTTCTACTCCACCTGCCTGGAGGGTCAGAAGGGGCCCAGGGCTGGAGTGGGCCAAGGGGCATAGGAGGCCAGATGTGCCCAGAGCAGTTAGCCCCCTACCCTAGTTAGGGGGAAGGGTAGCCGGGAAGTGGTACTTAATGGGTGTTCCCCACCTCTACCCCAGAATACAAGAAGAGCTTTGAGAACGATGCCCAGAGCAGTGATAACATCAACTTCCTCAAAGTGCAGTGGTCTTCACGCCAGCTGCCCACGGTAAGGCTGCAGGCAGGGCCTGGGCTCATGGGTGAGGGCACAGAGAGGGTGCAGTGGAGCGCATTCAGGGCCGGCCTGGGAGGGCAGGCAGAGCCTGCAGAGCACATGCGTCTGTGTGCATGTCAGCGGGTCAGGGGTGGGCATGAGTGAGGAGAGGGTGTTTGCTTCATTTGGGGCCAAGTTACAGTTTGTTCATTTGTTTAATCATTACTTTTTGAACCTTTGCTAAATGTCAGGTCCTAATTTGGCCATTGAGGATGCAGAAAATTAATTAGTTACAATGCTTTTAAGTGCTGGAAAGGCCCGTTTAGGGCTGTGTCTTCTACATTAAGGATTTGGGTTCTTTCCGTAAGAGTTGAGTTGCGGTGATCATGCGTAAGCCTGAGGGTAGGGGTGAGTGGTGCCAGGCAGGGGGGGGGGGGGGGGGGGGGCTTTGTTCCTCACCGGGCCTCTCCGCTCCGCAGCTCAAGCCCATTCTGGCTGACATCGAGTACCTGCAGGACCAGCACCTGCTGCTCACAGTGAAGTCCATGGATGGCTATGAATCCTATGGTGAGGGGGGAGGGGTGCCAAGGAGCATAGGAAGCCACACGGGGCCCTAGAAAGGTTTGGCGATTTGTTGGTTTGCCCTTTCAGGGGAGTGTGTGGTGGCGCTCAAGTCCATGATTGGCAGCACGGCCCAGCAGTTCCTGACCTTCCTGTCCCACCGTGGCGAGGAGACAGGCAACATCCGTGGCTCCATGAAGGTGCGGGTGCCCACAGAGCGCCTGGGCACCCGTGAGCGACTCTACGGTGGGGGCTCCATGGGGAGGGGTGTGGGGCATGAGATGAGGTGGTGTGGGTAGGCCTAGGAGGAAAGGACCAGGGGTGTGGGGAGAGCATGTTGGAATCCCTGGAATAGTGTTTGGAAGTTCTGCAGCCATGGCTGGGAGAGGGCCTGCCCTGAGGAGCAGCTGGGTAGAGGCTGGGAGGTCAATGGGTGCCAGGACCCCAAGTCCCCTCTGAGTCCCCGCTCCCTTTCTCCCCCAGAGTGGATCAGCATTGATAAGGATGAGGCAGGAACAAAGGGCAAAGCCCCCTCTGTGTCCCGAGGCAGCCAAGAGCCCAGGTGAGCTGGGGCTGTGTGCGGTGTCATGTGAAGGGGTGCCTGGGGGCTTTTGGTCAGCCCCTACTTCATCTCTCCTGCCCTGTGCACCCCTGGCAGGTCAGGGAGCCGAAAGCCAGGCCCCACAGAGGCCTTCTGCCCACTGTCCAAGTTATTCGAAGAACCAGAGAAACCACCACCCACTGGGAGGCCACCAGCCCCTCCTCGAGCTACTCCCCGGGAGGAGCCCTTGACCCCCAGGTGAGAGAACTTCATCCATCACTGTGCTTGGCTTTCAGCACCAGCCTGGGGACTGTCTGCTGCCTGGGTGCTCTGCTGCCCCATGGCCTACGCCACGGCCACTGGCCAGCCAGGCCTCCCTTAGGTGTGGCTCTGAGTCAAAGGGAGCACAGTCAGCCTTTCCTCTCAATTCTGCCTGAGAAATGGTTTCTGCAACAGCTCCCTCCACGTAAACAGAGCTCGTCTGAGCCTCGTGCGGAGAAGGCACAGTCCCAGCTCGGGGTTTCCCTCTGCGCGCTCTGTGGAGCACTCACTGTTCTGTAGTGCCCCCTGGAAACGGGTTTGTGATCAAATGAGTTTGAGAAACGGTTCTTGCTAGATTCTTTTCTTAGATATTCCCAGTGCACATTAGTATTAGCCAAAGCTCTGAGCATGTAGACAGGAAGGAAACCCTTTTTCAACTTCGTTGAATATAGTTTCCCAAACTTAACAGGCCAGGAAACTTCTTTTCCACACAATAACTATTAATATCTACAGAGTTCTGTGGATCATACCTTGGGAAAGTGGTTACATCCAATTGTTGCTTGCATTTAACTAAAAACTCCTAGGTCCAGGGGGTGCTTTTTCACTCATCTTCAGCTGTTGTCAGTCATCTTGGTTTTATTGCCAGGTTTGTGTAAAACCAACTTGAATTCCTGAGCAAGAGTCCTCAGTAGGTCAGTCTCTGATGCCTCAGGAGAGGGAAAGTGATATGCTCAAGGTCACATGTCTCCTGACTCCCAGTCTGGTTTTCCTTCTACCTCACCCACTACCTTCACTTTGGGTTTCTGGGTCCTGACTTAGTTATCCTGCTCCCTAACCCAGGTTGAAGCCAGAGGGGGCTCCAGAGCCCGAAGGGGTGGCGGCTCCTCCGCCCAAGAACAGCTTCAATAACCCTGCCTACTACGTCCTTGAAGGGGTCCCACACCAGCTGCTGCCCCCAGAGCCACCTCCGCCTGCCAGGGCTCTTGTCCCACCTGCCACCAAGAACAAGGTGGCCATCACAGTGCCTGCTCCACAGCTTGGTCGCCACCGGCCTCCCCGTGTGGGAGAGGGGAGCTCATCGGATGAGGAGCCTGGGGGTACACTGCCCCCTCCAGACTTTCCACCCCCACCACTGCCAGACTCGGCCATCTTCCTGCCTCCAAGCCTGGATCCTTTGCCAGGGCCAGTGGTCCGGGGTCGCAGTGGGGGTGAGGCCCGTGGCCCACCACCCCCTAAGGCCCATCCAAGACCCCCACTGCCCCCGGGTCCCTCACCCACTAGCACTTTCCTGGGTGAGGTAGCCAGTGGGGACGATCGCTCCTGCTCGGTGCTGCAGATGGCCAAGACACTGAGTGAGGTGGACTACGCGCCTGCTGGGCCTGGCCGCTCAGTGCTCCTGCCAGGCCCCCTGGAGCTGCAGCCACCCAGGGGACTGCCCTCAGACTATGGCCGGCCGCTCAGCTTCCCTCCACCTCGCATCCGAGAGAGCATCCAGGAGGACCTGGCGGAGGAGGTGTGTGGACCAGGGGTGGCTGGCTGTGTGCCGGAGGTGTGTGCTTGTCCCTGGCCTGCAGTGTCCTTTTACGCCGTTCAACACTCAGCGGTGTCCCCTCTACCCTGAGCTGGGCACTGGGGAGCTGGGAGACATGGGTTAGCCCCAGTCCTTGCCTCCCTTCCCTCCACCCCAGGACATGTGGTAGAATGTGGCTGTCTTTCAATGCTCTCCCTGACATGCCCTATTTCTTCAGGCTCCGTGCCCGTGCCCGTGCCCGCAGAGCGGGCGGGCCGGTGGGCTGGGTGAGGCGGGCATGGGCGCCTGGCTGCGGGCCATCGGCTTGGAGCGCTATGAGGAGGGCCTGGTGCACAATGGCTGGGACGACCTGGAGTTTCTCAGGTGGGGTTGGGGCTGGAGGCAGATGGGTGGGGCTTGCCCTGGGGTGGAGCCACGGATCCTCTGCAGTCCAGAGTCTGGACTACCTCGCCCAGCTCTCAGCCTCCCTTACCCCTTCCTACAGCGACATCACCGAGGAGGACCTGGAGGAGGCTGGGGTGCAGGACCCGGCTCACAAGCGCCTCCTTCTGGACACCCTGCAGCTCAGCAAGTGATAGCGGTGGCACTGTGAAGCTGCGAATTCAGCGCCCCTTCCTAACCCCACGAAGACCCAGCCATGCCCCCCCCCCACAGTTGAAAATTTATGAGGGGTGGGCAGCACCTCTCTACCTATTTATTTGGAATCTGTGTTCCCCACTACCCGATCGTTTGGAATGCCCTAATTAGGACATCCTGCCCCTACTTTTATACCAAGGGCACCAGAGATCAGTTGCCATGGTTACCAAGGACCTTGGTTATTCTGGTGCTGCCCTCCCTTTCTGGCCCCCTCCTCTCAGACCTAAGGAGTGTCTGAGGGGTCCATTTGGGTATGTCTGGACCCTCACTTTCACCACTGTTCTTGGGCCTGTAGCACAGCGGGCGGGGCTTGGTTGGGACCTCTCCCCAACACCCATCTGGGGTGTCCATCCGGAAATGAAGGAACAGTCCAAGTACCGGGCTGGGTTTAATTTAAGATGTTCTGTGTGGGTTTGGGGAGGGCAGGGACTTTAATATTATCGGGGCAGTTGGGAATAGGGGATGAATCTCTGCCATAAAGTGCCAGTTTGCTTAGTTCTCACTGTCTCCTGGTCTTTGCATGCGTAGCAGCCTCTGGGAGCAAGGGAGACCCAGCTCTTACCAGCAGCCAGCCTGTCCCCATCCTGGGCACTCAGAGGGGTTAGCAGCATGATGTCTTCAATAAATTAAGTTTTATTTGGATTGAGCAAAACTCACCTCAATAAATTACAAGTTTTTCAAAGAACAACAATAAAACAAAACAAAAAAAATCAAGAGGAAACCCCTCTGCCCCATTGGCCTGGCAGCCCCTGCACTTCTCTAAAGGGCCTACCCTCTGGGCCGGGAGGAAACGCCGGGGGACAAGCTGGTGGGGCCCTTCAGGCTGCTGATTACGGTGAGCCTGAGGGCTGGGGCCGCTGGCTGCTCACCGAGGAGGGGACTGGCCCAGCCTGCTGCAGGGAGGGGAGGGGCCGGCTGTCCTCCCGGAGGACCTCACGTTGGAACCCTGTTGGGGACCGGCAGTTATCTGATCCCGGTTCCAAAGAAAGCCAAGCTAGACGCGCCTCTGGGCTCTCCTAGGGGGCAGGGGGTCCCAGGGAAAGTACCCCGCTCTGCCGGGTGGGGTGGGTGAGGACAGGAGTGGCTCTAACTTTGTCTCCAAAACTAGGGAGGGGGCTCCTAGGGGTCAGACACTGGGAGGTGGGGACTTCCAGGCAGGCGGCCGGGGTGGGGAGGGGCTCTGTCAGGCCTTGGAGGGGCTGGGGCGTCTCTGGGGCCCGGCCCGGAGCCTCCGGAGTCCAGCGGCTAGAAGAGATTGGTCTTCAGGGTGGGGCCGGGCTTCCGGTGGAAGGAGGACAGGACCCCGGAGAAGGGCCCTGGCCCCGGCTCTGCTGGCTGCCAGGCCTTCAGCAGCTCCGCGGCGCCCGCGCCGGGCCCGCCGCCCCCGCCGCCCGCCACGCCGGCCCACAAGGGGCCCTTGAGCGGTTGTGGCCCCGGGCCCGGCCCGGGCCCGGAGCCCAGGGCGGCCGGCAGCGGGCTGGGGCTCAGGCGCGGGCTGGCCAGGCCGGGCGCGGGCGGCGGCAGCGACGCGGTGCTGTCGGGCGTCGGGCTGCACGTGGACTCCTTGGAGTCGTCGTCCTCGGACGAGCAGCGCGCCTCGCCCTTTTTGGCGCCCGCCACGCCCGCCGCGCCCTTGGAGCTGGCCGCGCGCTCCTGTTTTCGGAACTTGGCCCGGCGGTTCTGGAACCAGACCTGCGGGCACAGGGGCCGGTCAACCCGGGGCCGCCAGGCGCGAGGGAGGCTTCCGTCCGGAAGGGCAGGGCCGGGCCGGGACGGTCCGCAGGCTTCCCCGCGAGGCCCCTCCGCCCCCGCCCGCTGGCCTCCTCGCCTCTCCTCGTCGGCTGGCCCCTCTCTCCAGGTCCTTGGGGTCAGCTCCCCGCGCAGACCCCGCTGGGGGAACTCCGCCTTCCTCCCCTCAGCACCCAAAGGCCCTGCCCCCCAATTCCCTCCCGCAAGACGCTCCGAGACCCGCCTAGAGTGCTCCGGGGCGGCCGAGCGCGGCTTAGGACCCCAGGAGAAACCTTTTGTCTCCAGTTAACGCGGACCAGCTGGCCCTGTGCACTCGGATTTGTAACAGACATCGGCGTCCGCCCTGGCCCGGCTCTGCGCCCGCCTGGGTTTCCAGGCTCCGAGCTTCGCAGCTGCAGAGCCCGGGAGGGGACCTTCGCTGCCCGGCTCCCCTCGCCCCCTTCCCCCATGCGGGGACCTGAGGCCGCCTGGGGCACCCCCTCTACCCACTCGGCCTCCGTGCTCGCTCCCCCAGCACCGCGCGGCGTGCCCGGCCCTACCAGGGGGACTACAGGGAAATCGCGGGCCGGGCCAGCTCCGTCTCCCGAGGCCTCAGGTCGGCCAGGCCCTGGTCCAGGCGCCTCTCCAGGCTGCCCGTCCTCTCCTGCCCGGTTACCCCCCCTGCACCTGGGCCCTGGCCCTCCGCCTGGCGGCTACACCTGCCCCCCGCCAGGCGAGGCCCCTCCGTCCCGGCCCCCTCCGAGCACACACTCCCGCACACACGCGCGCAAACACGCACCTGCACGCGAGCCTCGGTGAGGTCAATCTTGAGCGCCAGTTCCTCCCGCGTGTAAATGTCCGGGTAGTGGGTTTCCGCGAAGACACGCTCCAGCTCCTTGAGCTGCGCGCTCGTGAACGTGGTCCGTATGCGCCGCTGCTTGCGCTTCTCGTGCAGGCCCGACGGCTCCGGGAAGAACTTGTAGGGCACTGCGGTGTGCGCGGAGCGGGGGCGACCGGGGGAGCGTGAGGGGCCGCGCTCAGCCGGCTGCGTCCTGCCCCTGCGGGGGTCGCTCCCGTCCCCCGTCCCTGGCCTGGCCCCTCGGCCTCGGATCGAGCGCCTTCTCTATGGCTCGCTGGGGCCGGCGGGGGTCACAGCGGACATGGCGCAGTGAGACCCAAAAGCAGCCGCGAGGGAACGAGAATCTGCCCCTCCCGTCCAAGCCCCTTACCTGCGGTCGGCCTTCGCCCTGTTCCCTCACCTCCCGCCAGTCCACCACCCGCTCCCACCCTCCCATCAGCGTGTCTCTGCCTCAGCCATTCTGCCCGCCTGGCGGCAGGTCCCGCTCGGTCCCCCCGAGCCCTGGCTGGCTTTCAGGGCTCATCTGCACTGAGAATCTCCCCAGGAACCAGTCCTGCACCTCGGCAGGGCCGGGAGACTCCCCTGCTCGGGTCTACTTTCAATCCTGCCACAGCCCCTCGGCAGTGCCCGATCTGGCCCTACCCCGCCATCTCCCTCCTCCCCAGGCCCCATGTCCTCAGCTGCATCTCACATCTTCCAGGCGCCCCTTCTCTTCCTCCTCTCCATCCAAACCTCCGTCTAACTTTCCTCTTGCGGACCATTCTCTTGGTGCCCTTTGGGAAGTGTCCTTGCTTCTCCCCATCTAGGTTCCTCCATCTTCTCTTTGCCCCTCGTCCTCCTCGCAGGCACCCCGCTCTGTGTCCCAACTCCCCCAGTGCTGGTCCCACCCTTCCCCCTCACTCTCTTCCCATCCGGGTCTCCCATCTATCCCATCCCAGTCCCCACTGTCCCATAGACAGTGTTCTGACACTGTCTCCCCATCCCTCTCTCCAACTCCCACTTAGGTCTCCATATTTTCCAGGGCCCCCCAATATTCTTCATCGTTGTCCTATCACCCTAGTTCTCTCCCTGAATCCCTGTCTCTAACACCCCATCCAGTCCCCGAGTCTTCCTCATCTGTTTGATCTTCCTTCCTCCCCATCTCCCATACTTCTGTCTCCACCACCTGGCTCTTATCTCCATCTCCCCAACCCTGGGTCCCTATTCTCCTAGGTCCCCAATCTTCCATCTGGCTCATACCTCTATCCAGTCCCTATCTCCCCCAGCTCAGAACTCCATCTTTCTGGGGCCCATCTCCCCATTTCCTTTCTCCATTTTCCAGGCCCCATCCGCATGAGGCCCAGAGCACCCAATCTCCCCAGCCCTGTTCCAGTTTCTGACTTCTTCTCTCTGAATTTCATTTCTCCAAATCCAGGTCCCTATCTTACCATCCTCCTCACCCCCACCCCTAGGCCCCAATCTTCTAGTTGGTTCCTAGGGGTCTTCCCCGGAAGGAAGGAGATAAGGAGATCGGGTGGGGCAGCTTGGACTGTAATTGGGGGGCTGGGGATGGCTGAGAGGCTCCATGAGACTTGGGGTTCAGATGGGGACTTGGATCAAGGGTCCCAAGGGTTGTAGGGGCAGCTTCTGGGTTCTGCGGGACTCTAGTTGGGAGAGTCCCCAGGGGGAATAGGGACATGAGAGTGGCTTAATGACCTGGGCACCCTTTTCTCAGGGCATGGAATGGGATGCAGTGGTGGAAGAGGGTGTGGGTACAGGCAGGATGGGTCCAAAGCCAGGCAGGAGGGGCCTGATGGCTCTGGGCTCTAGGAAGGTTTTCATCTGGGCAGCTCCGTTGCTGGAAGGGTCCTTGCTGGGGGTCGGGCATGAAGTGGGTGGTGATGCTAAGGATGGGGGCCTGTTAAACTGAGCCCAGAGCATCTTCCAAGAATACAGGGATTGAGAGGTTCGGTGGTCAGTCTTTGCAGGTAGGGAGGGGAGGGCCTGGAGAGGGGCCTGGGGCTGGACCGGCTGTTTCCTTGACCCTAAGGGTGTGGGATGGGGATGTGGCGGCTGGGAAGGATGAGAGTGGGAGGCTCGGCGCTGCCTAGGTTAACCCCGTCTTACAGGGGGACTGAGGGTCCAGCGGGGCATGGGAGGGTCTGGGGGGGGGGGGGCAGAGATGGTGGCGGCTGTGGGGGACTGTCTCAGTCACTGGAGGGGCAGGGAAGGGGCTGGGGGTTCCGCAGGATTTGGAGCGAGGATTGGGCTGGGGCGAGGCTCACCTGCCGAGTAGGGCGCGGGCTGGTGGTCGCGTAGGGCGCCAAGCGCGCAGTTGGAGGAGCCGAGCGCGGGGCAGGGCGGCCCGGCCGCGGGGAAGGCGGGCCGGAGCGGGCTGTACTGGAAGCCTCCGGGCTGGCTGCAGGCGCCGAAGTCGCCGTAGGCGGACGCCTCCATGGCCGCCACGCAGGAGTCGTACGAATTGAGGTAGGAGTAGTCCATCGGCCCGGGGGGCGAGGACGGGGGCCGGGCCGGGCCAAGTCGGGGTCGGGGTCCCGGGCCGGGTGCGGGTCGGGGTGGGAGTTCGAGTGCCAGGCGCCAAGGACCCGAGTCCGGCTCTGAACGCCCGCGAGCCCGCCCGCCCCGTCGCGGCCGCGCTCCACCCCGGTGCAGCGCAAGTGCAGCCCTGCTCGCCCGCGTGCCTTTTAACGCGCAGGACCCCGCCGAGGGGGCGGAGCGAGCTCCTCGGGGCGGGGCCTAGACGGGCCAGACCCCGCCCCAGCTGCCCCCGACCCCACCTCCAGCCCAAAAGGTACCCGCCGCCTTCCGAAGGCTCCGGAGGTTCAGGGCGGGGCTGCGCGAGGCCCCCTCACGGGAGTCCCCATCCCGCCCCAATCCAGCCCAGGCCTTGGTCTGTACGCATCGTGCCAGCCCAGAAGGTCCCGACCCCTTTCCCCGGCTGCTCCACCTGCGGCCCCGCAGAAGGGAGGGGAGACGGGCCGGCAGCGCTCGTGTGAAGTTAATTCAATTCGTCCAGATAACCGAGTTATTCCGATCCAGCCCCTCGGCCCCGCCCCCCGCGAGTTCCTTCCCGGCGGGGACCAAGGAGGCAGCCCTGGAAGGGGGAGGGGGACAGGCCCGAGGAAGAGACGGAGCCTGGGACGGGGGCGTGGATGAGGAGAGGAGACGGAGACAAGCACGGAGCGAAAGGGACAAGACAGATACAGGTACACAGATGGAGACAAGGATGAGACCTGGACGAGAGAGGAAGGTTGGAGACGGGGCAAGAGGAAGACAGGGACAGCGATGGAGACAAAGGTGAAACATGGACTTGAGAAGAGCAGGGGTGGGGATGGGGACAAGGCAGAGACAGAGAGGGGGACAGAGAAAGGAAGGCAGCGGCACGGAGACAGAAGGCCGAGGAATGAGACAGGGATTGTGATGGAGATCAGCAAAGAGATGAGACGAACCAGGGCAGTGATAGTGCGACAGACACAAACGGAGGGACAGTTTCAGAAAGACGAGGCCAGGGAGCCACACAGAGGAGGAACCGAGGCTGAGAGGCGGAGAGAAAGAGCCTTGGGCGAGCTGAGACTCAGAGCTGGAGGGCCCAGAGTAAGGATTGTGGTGTAGGCACCGCTCGCTCCAAATCCTGCGGAACCCCCAGCCCCTTCCCTGCCCCTCCAGTGACTGAGACAGTCCCCCACAGCCGCCACCATCTCTGCCCCGGCCAGACCCTCCCATGCCCCGCTGGACCCTCAGTCCCCCTGTAAGACGGGGTTAACCTAGGCAGCGCCGAGCCTCCCACTCTCATCCTTCCCAGCTGCCACATCCGGATCCCACACTGGTAGGGTCAAGGAAACAGCCGGTTGAGTCCCAGGCCCTCACCAGGCCCTCCCCTCCCTACCTGCAAAGACTGACCACTGAACCATCTGCAGCTCAGGGGGAGGGTCGCAGGTGCCGAGGTCCCTCTGTCCTCCTGACTTGTCCTGAAGGCCCCACAACCTTGTCCTGAACCTGCATGGCCGGATCGGCCTCTCCCCTTCCAGTTCCCCCATCTCAGTCCTCCTTCCCACTGCCATCGCATGTGACCCTCTGGTTCCCTGCACCTTCGTCACAAAGTGTATGAGGAATGTCAGGACAGGGAGTAACCCAGTGGCACCTTTCCTCTCCCTTAACCTCTAACCTCCCTTCTCCAGAGAATCTTTTCTCCTCCAGGAAAACCACCTCTAGGTCCTAGACTTACTCTGGACTTGGCCACAGACACTCTGGCCTTTGGCAGACTCAGCCACCGCATCTACACCGTGGGGTGGTGGGACATAGAACCCTTTCCAGGGGAACAGAATAGAGAACTCTTCTGCCTCAGCAGCTCACCTTATGTAAATGGACAGTTGCCTCACCCAGCCCCCAGCCTCCTCTACCCAAATTTTGGTCCTGCAGATGGGGGAGTGGAGACCCAGCAAGAAGCCAGGGGAGGAGGCGCCTTTCTTACCAAAGTCCTTGGGGATAAGGGAAGGGCTCCCAGAATACATCCCCTGTCCCGGTTTACTAGCTCAATGGGGAGCATGCGCACCCTCAGATCACCCACTTCTCTGGCCACCCATTCCTTGCTTCACACAAGGACATCTCCATGCCAGGGGGGTTCTTTGAAATGTTTTCACTATTTTTTAGGTCTGAACTTTTAAAACTTACAGTAAAACTGCTTTAAAAATTCTCCCCACTGAAGTGTGAGGTTCACCTCTCTCCCTTGACACATCCTCTACAGCAGGGGTTCCCAACCTTTTTTTGGCCACGCCCCACCTAAGCATCTCTAAAACCCTGATGCCCCCGCCCCCATGACATATAATTCTTATTCAAAAAGTGAATTCCTATTCATGTGGAGGAAGCCTAAAAGGCCATTAACTTAATCTAAACATGCTTTCAAAGAACATGGCATCCATGAAAGAGAAAAACAAAAAGAATGAAAGGACCGTTGAAGTACTGAGAAAGAAATCACTAAGAAATTGTTAAATAATAATAATAATATGAAGTGATATGAAAAATAGCAAATAAAGTTTCAAAACATATGAGAACTGAAATGCATAAATATGTCACAATATATATTTATATACTGTATATGAGGCCTCAAGAACCATAAGAAATGCAAAAAAAATCATTGTTAATAATTCATTCTCAAATTGCCCCCCTTAAAAATCAAATTGCCCCCCCTGAGGGGCATGTGCCCCACCTTGGGAACCACTGCTCTACCGGACGCCCAAGGGATCTCAGAATTGGGAAATCAGATGGTGCCACCTCTCTCTTTAGACTTCCCATGGCTATCCATTGCCCTCAGGATAAAATCCAAGCCCTCACTCTAAATAGTGCCTGGCACCTGGTAAACATATAGATAAATTAGCTACTATCACCACCACAACCCCCTTTCCTGTCACCAAGTGACTGAGCCCTGTGTGACTAGACCAGCTGTGGGCAAACTACGGCCCACGGGCTGGATCCGGCCCGTTTGAAATCAATAAAACTAAAAAAAAAAAAAAAAAAAAAAAAAAAGACCGTACCCTTTTATGTAATGATGTTTACTTTGAATTTATATTAGTTCACACAAACACTCCATCCATGCTTTTGTTCTGGCCCTCTGGTCCAGTTTACGAACCCATTGTGGCCCTCGGGTCAAAAAGTTTGCCCACCCCTGGACTAGACCCAGACCACACTGGCCGGGCTCCTCCACTCCGTTACACCTGACACCTAGATATGTATCTGGACACAGAACCCTATCTTTGCATGGGTGGCAGCATCACCTCTTCCCTGAAGATTTCAGAAGATATTAGGTCCTGCAGAGTTACCCAGCCTGGCCCTTTAATTAATTTTTGCAGATGAAGAGATTGAGGCCCAGAGAGGGGTCCTGTAGGAAGAGTGGAAGTAAAAACAGTGGGAGTGTTTCAAGGTAGAAAGACATCCCCTGCCCCCACAGAGAGAGCAGCAATGCAAAAAGGAACGTGGGGAGGTTCCTTTTTTTGTCTGCTCTTATCCCAACTTTGATACTTATTCTGTGAGCCTGGCTAGTAGAAGCATCATGAGAATGGATGAGGAAGGACCCATGCGCTGGAGAACTCTTTCTGCCTGCAGTCTTTTCGAGAATGGTAGCCTGAGACTACCACCTTATTCCCACTTCTAAGAGCAGCCACTGAAGTTAGCCTCCCCTCAGAACTCTGAGCAAGGATCTCCTGGCCCCAGGGCGTGGCCACCATGCTGACTTATTAACCCAATGTACTCCTAGGCAGTGCTCTCCTGTGAGGGGAGAGCATGGAGCAGCGGCTCCTCCCTGGAGTGCATCTTCTCACGCTCTGAAGCAATGTCTTCAGTGTCATCATTGTACAACTATGATTGGAAGCCAAGCTTGATCAGACATCCATGTCTAACTTCTAATAAGGGATGAAGCTTATCTATCAGTGAAACATTAGCATTGTCTGGTTCTGCTTAAAGATCCTAGAACTGTCAACCCTATTTATCTACCAACTTCATAAACAGAATACACCCCTCCCCTGCCCCTATTCTCAAATCTCTATTCTCTCCTGCTAGGACTTTCTGGTCCAGGGAGGGTTGAAGGCAAGCACATTAACTATATAGTCTCCCAACCCGTCTATCAGATCCTATAGTCTCTCTGTTATGGGAACAACTCTTCCCACTAATACGGCTGCCCAGTTGTCAAGTAATTTCCTTTCCTCTTTTTTTTTTTTTTTTTTTAATTTTCACCTGAGGATATATTTAGAGAGAATAAGGGAGGGAGGGAGGGAGGGAGGGAGGGAGGGAGGGAGGGAGGGAGGGAGGGAGGGAGAGAGAGAGAGAGATATGAAACATCGATTAGTTGTCTCCCTTACTTGAATATCTGGGGATCAAACCACAACCTAGGAATGTGACCTAACCAGGTTCAAACCTGCAACCTTTTGGTGTACGGGACACTACAACCAAATGAACCATCCAGTCAGGCTAATTTCTATTTTTATTTTGAGCTTCTAGTTTGAAGCCTTTCCCGGGCCAAAAGTGTTCAGCCTTCATGGATCCCTGAAGAATGAGGAAAGGTCTTTATTTAGTTCTACAAATATTTTTTGAATGTCTGATCTATGATGGAACTTCGTAGGGCACCAGACACATGAGGATAAACTAGTCCTGCATGCTTTCTTTAAGGATCTCCCAATCTGGTGGGCAGATGAGCACTTATCTATAGGGAGGTTCTGTCCAGAATGTTTTCATTGTCTGTGCAAGAGAATGGCACATAGGGGGTGAAGTGAGTTGTCTCCTTTACAAAACAAAGGGTGGGTGGGGGTGGGTGGGTCGGGGCGGGGGGGGGGGGGGGGTTTGATCCTACCAACCATGCCATACATTGACAAGCTTATTCAAGTTTTTGTGGGTGGGAAGGGGCCTGCCTAAGGGCTGCCATAGTGGACATGTGTGGTGTGGCCAGCCCAGCACACCTTTTCTTTTGGGAGCTGTCTCCTCCATCCACATGGCTACCCAGGGAACTATTGTTCTTACATAATCCACCCCTCAGCTATAATTGGTTCAGGTGTGTGTACGTGTAGGTCAATAAAATCCTTAATCTTTTCTTTTCTTATTTAAATTGAGAAACATGTTATTTTCTTTAGAATGCTG